ATGTTTTAAGAGTTGCAAAAGGCAATTCTGCTTTGTAATTTCTTCCCAGAAACATCAATTTAGCCTGCATCTCCTACTGTCAGTGTCTGACTGTGCCTTTGCGTAGGCTTTTTGCTGTTAACTTTATAGCAGTTTAAAAGAAAATACTGATCATTTAAGGAGTTTGGAAAAGTTAAAGGGCAAAGTATTAGAACAGCATGTGTTAAAGAAGCATTCAAATGCAAAGATTGTATTTCTGTTCCTTAAAGGGGCATTACAGCATATATAACTGTGTAATGTAGAGGCTATCCCGTTATGCTTGATTAAAAAGGATTAATGCATAATTTAGATAGAAGTTGCATGAATACTTAAATGTGTGTTGATATTATCTTCCTCAAACACCCTGTACAGCAGCACTTGGAGAAGAAAGGACAGCATTCTGAGCCAGCTAGGCTTTGCCCAGAGCACATTATTTATAATAGGTACTTATATAGCACTGTCAATTTACATATACATTTTAACATTCACATCAGTCCCTGCCCTACAGGAGCTTACAATCTAAGATCCCTAACTCAAATGAAAATATACTAGGGCCAGTTAAGACAGGAGCCAATTAACCTACCAACATTTCTTTGGAGTGGAAACTGGAGAACCCTGCTGAAACCCACCAGACACAGGGAGAACATGCAAACTCCAGGTAGTGCTGTGATTGGGATTCAAACTAATGAACCTAGTGCTGCTAGGCAGAAGTGCTTACCACTTAGCTACTGTGCTGCCCCATGTGTGAACATGTTTACAGTGTGGAGAATAGGAATGATCTTCTCAATGGGGTTAATTTATCAAAGGTGAATAAACTGTTCATTTTGCAAGGGAAGTTACATTTTGCAAGAGAATGAACCCCAAAGCTTAGTGAATGGGGTAACGTTGCAAAGCATATCCAATCTGGTGCAAGAAAAATACAAAACAAAAATATAAAAAAAAAAAAAATTTTGGATGTTGGACGTCAGCAGAGCTTCACTTCATTCATTATGCTCTAGATAAAATTCCCTTACAAAGTGAACAGTCTATTTGCCTTTAGAAATTAAAGCCACAGTGTGTTTCTAATATTTTACAATCACAACTGTTGTTTTCTTTTTATTTATTTTATGTACTGGAGACCGTAGGAGGCAAGGAACACATAAAAGGGACATTCAAAACTCCATGGTGGACAGAAAAAGAATCAGTAATTATGACAGGGAATCTCACTATTGGAGAATCCAAGGAACATTAGAATCCCAAGGTACTCTAGAGGAAAGTTGAATGACTTGCAGATACCTGAAGGTTCCCTTTATAGCATGGATGTGGTCTAATAGTCTAATAAACCAGTATGTTGGTTCTCATCACTGTTAGTATAAACTCTGTGGCTCTTCTATGTGACTGTATGTTCCAAAGTGCCTTCAACACAAAACCACCCCTAACATGTAATCCTCCTTGTGCCTAAATCCTTAACACCTAACCCTCAACCCAAAATAATGCTTGTTTTCTTATCTGTCCCCTCCACCCCCACTACCCCATCACTATCCCATCACATAAGAGATACCAGTACAGAGCTGTGGGCCCCAAAAATGAATGATTTGCTAGTAAACTACATGTTTGGTTCATCAAGGATCAAGATAAAGGCACACTTTGAGAAAAGCTCTAGAAAAAATGTTGTGCAAACAAGCAGTCACTTTGAGTGGCTTGCTATAATGTGAAAATGGCAGCAAAATTATGGTGTATACATTTTGGGTACACTTTTAAATTCAATCTATCTTTTCTAACAAGTGTGTGACATGGTCTATGTTGCTTCTTTCAAAATAAATGGTGTAGATTGAGTCAGTACATGAAATACCACACATCACAAGGCAAAGGCTTACTAATAATAAAGATTTATAATGAATATTTTATATATATATATATATATATATATATATATATATATATATAAAGGTACCTTTTGAACAGTTATTTCCATCAAAACCACCTTTGAAAATAAGAATTTATTTGACATCATCTCAAAGTACTTAATATAATGGTTTGTGTTCTCACGAATGTTGATGTCTTTGTCAACTCAGTGCAACTCCCATTCACATTTCTACAAAATCTGTGGCAGAAAATTCCACACTCACACTCATTACTTGTTTTCTTCATAGGCAGTATTGTGCTAGTAGAATATAAACAGTAACATGTTTTTATGAAGGAACAGACTACAATGATGGAACCTTGAGAAAAAAATGTCACTTGTTTCGAGACGTTGATCTTTGACCTGTTACATGTTTTGATTCATGAACACAACTGATCCTTACAGTATTTCATAAATGTGGCAGCATACTGAGAAAAAGGTAGAGATGATTGGATTTAAACCTGGAAGAAATGTACAAACAATTACTTTCAAATGCTCCATTAAGGAAGTCAAAGACACCTATCAAGGGGGAGATGTTCATACTCTGCTCAAAGAGTATAAATGACAGTCTTCTGATCTGGCAGTCATCTGGTTTGGCTGCAAAGGGGTTGAATTTGGCAACAATCTAATTTCTATGATGAATCCATAGACAATGTTGACAAGGCTCCTTGGTGTTATTAGCAATTAGATCAGTTAGAGAACCATATCTGACAGCTACTGTTTAGAAAACTGCATTGTACAAAGGCATGACTGAATTGACAAGAGTTGAATCAACTATTTAAGTAGACCCTAATATACAGAGTTTTGGTAACTCTAAATGAGATTGTACAGAAATTGTACAGATTGTTGGAATATAAAGTGTATGGCCAGTTTAACAGAGGGAGAAGCATCACAAGGATCCTGCCCGTTGTGCTGCAATGAGGCGAAGCTCTGATGACTGAATTTATCCACTGTTATGTAAGCAAAAATATATATTTATGTAAAGCGAAAATTCTTTTGCAAAGTGAACAGCCTGTTTGTCTTTAGTAAATCAGCCCCATAAGCTACTACATCTTGGCTTGTCATATGAGTGCAACACAAAGATGTTTAGAAATCTCCCAGATACGTATGCTCTGGATCTCTGAACTTTTTCTGAACTTTTGCAATATATACTACATTGATGGTATCGCATTGCTTAACCTAGGATGGAATGCAGCTTCCACATATAGGTGCAAATAAAGGTAAATTACACTTAACTCAAAAAGATAATGTGTGTATGTCCCTGGAAATGTGGCCAAGCAGTGAACATTTTACAAGTCATAAATGGACAAACTGCATTTGTTCATGACATTTAAAAAAAGAAAAGAAGATATACATCACCCTGAAAACACCTCAGTATTCTTAGATCTACTTAATGTCTTGAGCACAAGAAAAAAAGTTCTCTCTGGCAGTCTATGTAGGTATAGACAAAAGGTTGAGATTCAATGTCAAAACATGATTTAAGCTAAAGTAGTATACATGTAGAAGCATACTTCATCAACCAAGTATGTTGCTGAAGCTATGCAAAGTTTTTAAGCACCATTGTCTTGTTGTGTATACCATGAAGCTTTCCTCAGCCAATATTTAGAGTAGCAGGGCAGCAATGGAGTACAATAGGGATGAGGTTCAGGATCACTGCTACCACAGTTTCATGTAAATCCTGCATGTTCGAGGTTGGCAGACCCTGTGAAATAATACTGGGATTAGCCATACAGCATTAAATAATGCACTGCCTTACCTTTACACTTTGGTTGAAAGGTCAATAATGGGGCTTTTAAAGTATCTGTAATATGAACAATTGAGTACTGTCCAAGATACTTTTTTTTTATTGGCATTAATATCCAAATTTTCAGAACAAGCTTTCAGGGTGTATCCCCTTCTTCAAGGTCCAAGCAGTACAAATACATGAAGTTTTAGCAGAATGGCTGTAGATCCATTGTCAATCATGGTGAACACTGCCCACATGCATGGAAAAAAAATGCTCCCAGTGCTTGGATCCCTACAACTGACACACCACTTCCCCCACCACTTAAGTAAATAAAGGGGCCAGATCAATGATATCAAAGGGGGAGTCCTGTGATGTCATTGACCCAGGGGGATTCAATGATGTCACAAAGTCAGGGCCACCCAGCGACGTCATTGATTGGGGGTGTGATCATTGATGCCAGGACCACCCGATGATGTCATTGGCCCAGTGTGTAATTGCCCTTATTTGCATTGATTCAGTAAGTAGTTAATTACATTTTCTTGATGTAGACTCTCATCCTCTAATCTCTAGATGAAGACTTTACCAGGAAACAAAACCTGTGCCAAAATAGCAGAGCGGGGTTATTTGTAAAGTCTGAAAAGAACTGTCAACGGGTACCAGTTAAACCAGGACAAGGTCACCACTCCCATGTTCTGGCAAGAATGGGTTAAAGAGCAGTTATGCTCACCCACTGCTCAGCAAACAACTGGAATCACACCCACGAACACAAAACCCCTTAAAGTGTCAGAGCAAAACAAAAAAAGGACCATATTCTGTACATCAGTATATGCATTGTTCCCCATGTTTTGTTCCTTTAATAACTAGAAGTTGTGCTCACAAAAAAGACAGTTAGAGGGCAAAGGGCTAGTTACCAGTATTGGCAATGGTCTATTGCAGCTGACCTTCTCCTTCCCCCATCATACTATACTGTGTTTTGCACTGCATCTCTACATGGACGTGGTCATATATGGACAGGCAAGGCTTTGCTGTCTCATGTAAGAGCTTCCAGCAAGGAAAACCATGAATAGTACAGTAATTAATTAAATTATTAAAGATTACTCCAAATATCCTGAGACTAGAAGTTAGTGTATAGGCAGCAGAGTCTTAGGTTTCCCCCTAGCTCAGCGGTTCTCAACCTGTGGGTCGCGACCCCTTTGGGGGTCAAACAACCCTTTTACAGGGGTCTCCTAAGACCATCGGAAAACACATATTTCCGATGGTCTTAGGAACCGAGACACCGCTCCTCTATCAGTCTCCAGGCAGGTCCGCCCACATGCAGATACGTCCACATTTCCCTAGAAGCGATGTGTGCGCGGGATGACATGCCGCCCCTGTCATCTGGCCACATCCCCAGAATCACTCAACAGCTCCGCCTCCTCACCAGTGATTGGCCGCCGGAACTGTAGCTCAGGAGAGGCACACAGGCTGCCAATCACCGGCGAGGAGGAGGAGCCGAGCAGCAGTGTGAAGATCAAAGAAGATTGAGCAAGGGAGCTGCCGGAGAAAGAAGACAGCTGACAGGTAAGTGTCTGTAGCGTGCAGAAGGCAGAAGGTGCTGCTGCAACTAGGTATGCTGGCTGTAGATGGGGGAGGGAGGGAGCAAGCCCAGGCTGGAGCAGGAGTCAGCAACGGTAAGTATCATTGGTGTCAGTAGGAGGAATAGTGCCCCATCATTGGTGTCACTAATACCAATAATGGGGCACTATTCCTCCCACTGACACCAATGATGGGGCACTATTTCCTCCCCCCCCACTGACACCAATGATGGGGAACTATTCCTCCCCCCACTGACACCAACGATGGGGCACTATTCCTCCCCCCACTGACACCAACGATGGGGCACTACCCCCCCACTGACACCAATAATGGGGCACAATTCCCCCCCACACTAGTATCAATGATGGGGCACTATTCCCTCCCCCCACTGACACCAATGATGGGGCACTATTCCTCCCACACTGACACCAATGATGGGGCATTATTCCTCCCACTGACACCAACAATGTGACACTATTCCTCCAACTGATTCCAATGATGGGACACTATTCCTCCCACTGACATCAGTGATGTGGCACTACTCCTCTCACTGACACCAATGATGTGGCGCTACTCCTCCCACTGCAAAATTACAGTTATGAAGTAGCAACAAAAATAATTTTATGGTTGGGGGTCACCACAACATGAGGAACTGTATTAAAGGGTCGCGGCATTAGGAAGGTTGAGAACCACTGCCCTAGCTATATACAGGTTGAAGGCACAGGTGTGCCTAGGCACCATCACATACCAGGAAGTGCACTGCTATTGATTGGGAGAAAATCAAGAGAGAAAGTAACTTTCCAGAGCACTGTTTAAGCATAATTTCTGCTTGTATATGTATAACAGGATAGGTAATCAGCCTAATGATCAGCAGTTTACTGAACAGATGCAAAGTTAAAATCAATAAAGCGACTCAAGGTCAGAATGGAAAAGAGCATGCATACACTGCAGAATAATACAAAACAAATTATGAAAGCTCTTCAAACATGGACTCTTCACAGCAATGTCTGTTTCTAGAAGACTTTATTAACAGAAGAGAGTCTAGCTGAGAATCACTACTCCAGTGAAATAGTTCAGAACACAAACTACAAGTGCATTCTACACATTAGATCCCTGGATAGCTCTGGTAACACAGTGGAAAAGCTGGAGAGATCCAAGGCTTAGGACACAGAGGGGTCACTATTAGGCTCTGATCCAACTGCCCATATGCTAGTCCTGACAGCAAAGGGCCTCTTACTTGGCTGCAGATTACTTGCCCACATACCCCGTCTCATCAGATGTTGGCTGCTGAGGGAGGGAACTGAGGAACTTATCTTACTTGGCTGTATCTGATAAGCAATGGAGTTGTGGGAAAAGGAGTTAAAAAGGCCAGTATCTGAGCATGGTGAGTAAATGGACAAACAGATACAGATGCTCCCTACAGCATAGCGAATCTTCACCTTTTGAGTTCCGCTGCACTTTAAAAATGTTGTAAGCACATAAAAATACTTGCTGATCTGCCAGACATCCACTGTGCTCCAATGAGATTGTCCACACACTGTTTGCATGGAAAGGGCTCTTGGGAAATGTAGTCCAGCAAAGTGTGGTGATGGGGGCTACAAGAAAATAGAAAAAGCAATGCTGGCATTGCCTTAAAAAGTTAGAGGGAGGTTTGGTGGTACATTTGCGTAAGGCTCGGATTGCCAACATTTTTTTTGGATAAAGTAGGGAAGGGACAAAACCCCTGTTAGTTAACTCTTTGCTTTCTTGGGAGCTTTGGGAGATTTCCCTTCACTTCCTGTTCCATAGATGCAAAGATGCAAAGGAAGTGAGAAGAAATCTCCACAAAGTAAAGAAATTCCACCCTTATGGTGCACTTACACTGGGATCAGCTGTACTTCTGAATTTGATTGTCTTCATTTACCCCCCCCCCCCACATTGGACTATCAGGAAGTATTCCTGAGCACACTAACAAGTGTTCCCAGGCACACTTACATCATTACCCCTGTTACCAGATCACAATGATATCTGCTTCTATACAAAGCCAGATATGAAAAGTGTTGTGTTCTGGCACAATTTGTGCTGACAATGAAGTAAACCGTTGTGCACCATAAGTGAACCATGCCTGGGACCACCTCTGCCAAGTGGTCCTGGACACGGTATTCCTACCCAATCCTAGACACAGTTTGGAGTGCTCGCTACAAAAATGAACCAGACTAAGGGGGTGAACAGTGTCCAGACCAGGTAAAAGTGCCAGTGTGAGTGCATTCTTAGACAGCTTTCGCCCAAACAAGTGTCCCCATTTAAAAATGTTCCTTTAGTTTCACTTTCTGTCTCAATGATCATGGTTACCAGGCAGGGGCGGACTGACAACTCATGGGGCCGCCAGGCAATAGGGGCTCCTGTGTCCTTTCCCAAACTCAAAAAAGCCTATGAAAAAGGTACCAGGGGCATCTCATGGGGCCCCCTACTGACCCCCGGGCCCTCGGGCAGTGCCCGAGTTTCCAAATGGTCAGTCCGCCCCTGTTACCAGGACAAACAGAGAAGATGATGAATCTACCTAGGAGGTGCAATAAACTCCACAGGGGTTCTAATCCTTTCCCTGTCCTATTCAAAACTTAAAAAACAAAACCTTTTGGCTAAACATACACTTCACACAATAAACAATGAGTTTGCTGACTAGTTGGTTTGTAGGGAAGCTATTCACCAGCAAAGCAAGTTTTATACCCGATTCGCACCAGTCAAAGGCACAGCAAATTTGTGAACGGTTCATTTATCTCTAGTCATTTGAAAATGTGACTTTCTTTGCCATGGTTCACTTGTGAATTTTACAGTGGCTAAGTTCCCTTTACTATATTTGATGATCTAAGCTCCATTTGTTTGCAACACCTACACGTTTATTAAATTTTATTGCACAGTGACTACAAAGACAAAATGAAGGAATTCATATTAAAGTTTTATTTTCAAGAACTGATTAATGCTTGCTGAAGACCCAAGACTGAAAGCAGCAGAGCAGAAAATATAAATGTTTCTTAGCAACAGGAGTGTCTGAATTTATAATTAACTCACTGTCTCCAACACAATGCAGCATAAAAATTGTTTGACAATAAACTAACTGGCCAAATTTATCCGTAAATTGATATTTGTTCTTGTCAAAGAGATTGGTGGGTTTAGCCAGTGTATAAAGTAATAGAGGAGTTATGTTACTGTCCACCAAAGTCTGTTGGGCAATCCACTATTAAGGGAACCCTATCAAGTGTCACAACATTTCACTGGTTGCATGTGTAGAGCACCTCTTGAGGAGCCACTATTTCAGTGAGGCCACTTAAACTGTTTTTTTCTCTTGTTTACACTGCAAACTCTGCCACTCTGATACACCCAACTCCAATAAGGTGAACAACACCAGGATTGATTGATACTATAAGTATATTAGAAAATATGTAGTCAAAGGCAGGGTAACACAGAACTTTGACTACAATGTTATGATACACTGGTTGCTATACAGAGTAATTCCATACCAAACCACACATAGGCAACAACACAAAAGGAGTACTTTGGCCCACTTCTCACTATATACCCTGACCAGCTTAAACTATAACAGGGGTGGGCAAACTTTTTGACTTGAGGGCCGCAATGGGTTCATATATTGGACCCGGGGGCCGGACCAAGAGTAGATGAATGATGTGTATGTGTCATCCATAGTAAGTATAGTAATATTCCCCCATAGTAAGCATAGTAATTAATCCCCCATATAGTAATTCATCCCCCATAGTAATTCATCCCCCATAGTAATTCATCCCCCATATAGTAATTCATCCCCCATATAGTAATTCATCCCCCATAGTAATTCATCCCCCATATAGTAATTCATCCCCCATAGTAATTCATCCCCCATATAGTTATTCATCCCCCATAGTAATTCATCCCCCATATAGTAATTCATCCCCCATAATAATTCATCCCCCATATAGTAATTCATCCCCCATAGTAATTAATCCCCCATATAGTAATTCATCCCCCATATAGTAATTCATCCCCCATAGTAATCATCCCCCATATAGTAATTCATCCCCCATATAGTAATTCATCCCCCATAGTAATTCATACCCCATATAGTAATTCATCCCCCCTATAGTAAGTCCCCCCTGTGTCAATTTACTTACCTTTGCTCCGCGCATTCCTCTCGCCGTGTTCCCTGCGCCGTTCCAGTCTTCAGGGCGGACTGTGAGAGGAGCCTAGCTCCCCTCACGTTCATCACGCTGCCCCGCCTACACACATCCTGACAGCCAATGTATCACGCTCCGCGGGCCGGATTAAAAGGTCCGTCGGGCCGTATACGGCCCGCGGGCCGTAGTTTGCCCATTGCTGAACTATAACAAAGTCACCAAGAGTGCAACAAGGGTAACTTGACAAAGATTAAGTATAAACTCCTGGAGGCTACACTGCCGCTAGAACACTAGGGTGATCTTACTAGGTACAAGTCTGCCTGCAGGACTTTGTTATAAGATAGGGAAATACTAATGGATTATGGATGGTAAGATTTATATCGTTTGATGTGAGACAATGACTTTCTAAAACTGCCAGAAAATTCTAATGACTCTTCCAAATGGCCATGTGTACAGAACATCCCTAGGAATGTCACTTCCTGCTCATGTGATTGGCTTCTGGTCTTTCCCAGCAGTTATTTTATTGTTGCAATAGTGAGCTTGCTTTGGTGACCATGCAATGTGTTACATCTCCTTGTAAGGTTCACATCTGACAAAAAGAAGATTGTTTTTTTCTCGTCAAAAGTGCACTTGCATTTTTAAGTATATCTGAAACCAAAATCCTTTTTTCACTTTGAATACCCATTTTTTTGCCATCTGTGTCCCATTAAGGAGATTTCTCTTCACATCCTGCCTTGTATACCCAACAGGAAGTGGGGCATTTCTCAAATGAGTTCTCAAAATGAGTGAACCCCCTCAAGACAGTTGTCACCGCAACAAGTGTGCCCATTGAAAGTTGTGTCTTCTTTTACTTTTCAGGTGGCAAATTAAAAGTTCCCCACTTTCTCTCGCAATTGTGATCATCAGAACAAATAGAGAGGAAGAATCTCCCTAGTTAGCACAGATAGCAATAAAAACATGGCAGAAGCTATATTACCTTTCTACTCAAGATTTAAACAAATGGCTTTAAAATTCAGGGGTGTCAAACGGTGGCCCTCCAGCTGTTGCAAAACTACAAGTCCCATCATGCCTCTGCCTTTGGGAGTCATGCTTGTATCTGCC